GGATTCAATCAATACAGAGAATAGTTTTAGGTCCACCCATAAACTTACTAAAACTAAAATACAATTACAAAGACGAGACTCACAGCTAGCTTTTTTTTATTTTGCATATGCATTCTGAAAACACATCATGGATGCATGTCTATTCTAACCAGTTATTTCTTTTTTCCCCCTTTATATCAGCCTTATCAGGCTATCAAAAATTTTTTAGTAAACAGGAAGACCATTGGAAGGTAAGTCCTCATTCCTTTTTGTTGCATTTCTTTTAAAAAGTATTAGTTTCCCATCTGTGTGTGCATATCTACTTGCTCAGATTCTAATCTTGTATAACTATGCTAAATATATCTATAATTTCCTAGGTTTTAACTTTGCTGTTGAAATATTCACAATGGAACTTGTTCATTTCGCTGACAAATCCTTGATAAATCAGTGTATTTGTTTCAAAATCAAAATACTGACCAGTGGTGGCGCTGTTTTTTTCTTCAAAACTGCTCCCTAATTGTTGCAATCAGTGTTGACTGTTAGCACATACATGTAGGCGACTATTCATTACTTATTCAATTATTTTTCATTTATCTGGAAGGATTAATCATTATGGCGAGTTGATGCATGCCACTTTGATTTGTTAATTGAACCCAAAATGGTTGATTGGTGGCCATTTTTGACATATATCTTGTACTTGCTTTGAGCAATTGCTCCAAACTTTATAAACATGCATACATGCACATATACGATAATGTTTTTTCATCAAACCAACTGCTGATGATTTTAGTTGTTAAAAAAACACTAAAATAAGGTATTTGGACATGTCCTGAATAAGATCTATCCAAATTACTTTAAAATTGATTTGTAAAAGTCTACTCAAGATGGCCGACTTGATCCATCTATCAGGTTACTCAGGTCCTACAACATCATATGGTTTTTGCACCTATGTGCAATTCTATAAGCTATAAAATAGCAATGTAAAAAATGCTCACTACATGTATGCCAAGGACTAGAAGCTAATCTTCTTTAAATGTGTATAGTTTTGAGATTGAACACAAATAAAGTATGTGCTTTGGCCATTTTTGGGGTTATGACTAGGAATCTTTATATTAATATCGCGCAATGCTGTTGACATTTGTTTTTCTTGCTGTAAATGTAATATCATTTGTTGTCACATGCATATCACATGCGTTTCCTACTATGATATGCAAGTTTTCACTCTGCTGGGATATTCTACATCGGTCTTTAAACCTATGTACACAACAGGGACTGTGAACTGCAAAATGCTTGCTAATTTAGGCCTGCTTAATAAATTCATATATAAATGTATTCATAAATATACATTTTCTGATTCACCACCAACAATATCAATATTTGATCGTGTATATATTCGTCAGGATATAGTACTCAGTGTTCTCCACGAGAGGTTTAAGAGGGGCGCAGCGCTCTTTAATTTATTTGCGCCCCTCTTCAATTTGTAGCGCCCCTCTTCAATTTGTACCGCCCCTCTATTTATCTTCAGCGCCCTCCTTTGTTTTCGGTGAACAGCTGTTTCACAAGTCCCAGAAGATGTCCCGATGATGTTATTGAGAGACCTCTTATTAATTGACAGGCGATAAAACAAAGAACCAAGAGACAGATAGTGGCATAGGTAACAACGAATTTAATGTCTGGGGAAAAACTGGCTGAATAAATAAACAAAAAACAATGGCTAAATACGTAAAGTGATTGTCACAAGCATTGCGTTAATTACGCAATAGGAGAGTTCCCTCATCATTCCTGAATTAGCTTAGATACTTAAGAACAGAATAACCAACAACAATTTATTGGTCCAACTGCTTGTTACTTGCCTTTTATTGGCGAAAAGTAAAAAAAAATCATCAAAAGAAACAAAACATACGGTACACACAGAAACAACATGGATGACCTGGTATCTGACCTTTGTCCTCAGTACCCATAATGCAATCAACATAATAATCAATTTATTTACAGTCATCGGATTCGATTTTTTTCTTTTAAATGGTAATTTTGTTATGTGAAAATATTTTTCTTATTACTTGAGTTTTTCAACTATTACAATATGTCAGTGCATTTATAAAACTTATGAAAATGAAAATACTCGAGAGAAATTTAAAAGAAATTAATGAAAGGCTAAAATTTCACAACTTGTTCCATTACAGAGAATAAAATGGATATTCTTCATCTGTCAAAGTTGATGTAAATATAAAAGTGCTAAGAATTTTCTTTGAAGTGTTTTATTGGTATGCTAATTATATGCAAATTAGATATGCTAATTATACTTAAATTAGCATCCCTCTTCAAATTTTGTTTGTGGAGAACACTGGTACTTTACAGATTTGCAAAGTGGGAATGCTGCTCAATTGCAGTCATTGCAAATGTTTCCTTACGAGACTTCGTGGATTTGGTTTTATCCGTTTCACATAACTCCAAAACACATTAGCTGATTTGAACAACATTTGTTGGACGAATTGTTTCATGTAATGTGCAGCAGCACAGCAGGTTTTTTTGTTTTCATGAATCATGCACATTTGGATTTTTTTTTAGGTAAAAATGTCAAAATATAGGGTGAAAATAATGTTTTTTTATCGTTAACAACAATGTTTTGCTCAATTTCATTCATCACATATAGGTAATACACAGTTCATTGCCAATATTGATAAACACCTTTTTTTTTTTATTTGGTGTCCATGCTCGTTTCTCTATGTGTGATTATACCTACTACATTTGCACTTCCACTGCTTTGAAATTGACATACAGATTATGTAGACATGTGACAGAACACAAATTCACAGTAAAAACAACACAAGGACACAGCATTGTCAAGACTTGTTGATCTCAAGGTGCTTTCAACAATTGATATTTTAGTGGGTTTTTAATGCTGAAACGTGATTGTTTCATTGTGAATTTTGAGAACCACAACTAAAATGTAATTTTTGCTTATTACGCAAATTTTTCTCATAAAACACATTGAAAGGGAACACAAAGTCTCTATACTGTTGACTTGTACGAAAATGATTGAGACAGATTTTAACGCAAAATGTAGTCACTGCACTAAAATGTCAAAAACACATGAGTAGCCAATGATTTTGATCAAAGTTGTCACACACTGTAAATTTTACCGATACATCTGCGCCTTCAAAGTCTTGTGATTTCAAATCAAGTCAAAATCACTAATGGATGGAACATGTCATTTCATCAGAGCTTCCTGAGAAAGGAGGGGGAATTTTCATTCGCTAAGTCGTTGCATAAGGGTAACCATAGTGATCCATTTGTCGCTGCTAGTCTTAAAACGTGATTGATTTATTTTATAACATGGTTTAAAGGGCCTACTATGCTTTTTGCCAATCTCTGTAATACTCGGGCAAAAATGACATTTGTCGTACGAACTGAATATATTTGAGTTGAAATGAAGGTGTGTGGGCGGGGGCTTGGTGAAAAGTAAACTGTTCTTCAAACATAAATTTGTTTTCTAACAATTTGCATGTTATTATTATAAATACCATATTTGTTCTATCAGAAGCACATCTTCAATAGAAGCCCCATCCAATTTCGCCATGTGTGTGTATTTACCATTCATTGAACATCACCAATACTATACAATCTGATTCTTGCATGTTCGATTGAACAGCCCCATGCTTACTGAACTCAGGATAAGCAGGTTGTAGACAAGCACATGTATTTGAAAATATCAGCTATTGCCAGTGATTAGTTATCATGCAGTTATAATATTCAAGTCGTTTGATTCACTCTGCAGGACGCGCCATTTCTGTATGGTCTTGGTATTGTCTACTTTCACTACAATGCCTTTCAATGGTAAGTAACATTTGTTTGTTTTTTATTTGTTTGATGGAATGAGCATATCATTGCTGGATGGAGACTCTACTTGTCCTACATTGAATGCAGAGCTTGTAAAATGTTTTAACATCTACTCATGTTTCACTTTTTTTGAGAGAGCTCCGCTGGATTTTAAATGATGAATGAATGTACAACCAATGTGACTGTTTCTGCAGCCCACCAGCTCTTGTTGCTTACCTGCTATGATATCTTGCAAATGTGTATCTTGAAATGTTTTTTATTGCACAGTGATATCTATTGAAAAAAAAAACCTGATTCTTAAAGGGGCTTATGCTAAATCAAGCCCCAACCACAGATTTTCTCAATTTTTTTTGGAGGGTGGGAATTGTTTTAAATACAGAGAAGTAAAACAAATCAAGTTGCATATTTATTGATTTCCACAAGCCTCCACTTTTACGATAAACAAGAATTACATGAGAGGCTATAATGATGCAATCATGAATTTTGTGTAGCATTACAAAATAGCAGTATTCGCCACATCAATGTAGTCAGTGGTTTTGTAAAATTGCATTCCTACTGATTCTGATTTGCAGAAAACCTACCTCATAGACACCTGAAATCTTCATAAGGGTTTTGGATTTTATGCAGTTCATGTGAAATCTTATGCAACAGAATCCTGCAATCAAATTATTAAATTAGTTGATGAGTACTCTAATATTTCCAGATTTGTTGTCACACCGACTGATTTCATCATTGTTCATCATGATAGTTTGTTTGAGGTTTTTTACATACCGTACTTCCCCAAGCATAAGCCCCTCCCTGAGTATAATCCCACCCCCTCTGTTTTTAGACATTTAACAGGTTTAAATTATATGCCCAGAGTGTTTTTACCGGGTGTCGACGACATTTATTAAAATATGCATGTAAAAAGTGTATTTCATTGGATAATAATCATGAGTACAGTAGTGGTTCCTGCTTTTAGGAGAAAACTCGCATTAATGCATGGCGGGTGATTGTACGGAACATAGTTCGCACCTTTTCTATTCTGTTGAATAGGGTGAACCCCGATGTTGCAATATTGAAGTAATCCATATTTCTTTTGAGTAGTAGTTTTCGAAACTCCAAAATATGATCGTCAAGTCGTGAAACCTGTTCAGAGAACATTGTTTTACTTTGCCGAAAATAATCGTGTCCATTGAGACTATCATGAATGAGGTGTGAACGTGTAAACTATTCTTCGACACGACTTGTTGGTGACTGTGAAAGGTTTAAATACTTCCTCTTCCCTCAGTTTAGCTTTTGAAAATTGCAAATCAACAGCTTTTATGGGGGAAAAATCAGTTTTTTTTGTAGAAATCAGTGTTAACAGATCTTATTTTAACATCGCAGTAATTCACTTCCACATTGCATAGAAAAAATTACTCAGTCAATAATCAGGAAAACTTCGTCTGTGCAACGTATTTTCTCGATTTTACATGCTCATCCCCCTGGGCTTATACTCGGGGAAGTATGGTACGGTATAATACAAAGTGTGAATCCAAGTATATTTGTATGTATCTAGAGTGGGTCTGCATACAAGGAAATCTCATTGTCAAAATTTCCACTTTGATGGTTGATTGTTATAACCCTTATAAGTACATGGGACTGACAAGATTGGGGTTATTGTTGAGATCAGAGACAAGTTTCAGGGACTTGGTATAGCTTGGTATCTGAGATGACATAGATGTGTCTGTATGGTACAGCTTTATCTGAGATAACACGAATGTGTCTGTATGATATGGTATGGTA